TCAGAAATGGAAAACAAAACATCATATGTTCTCACTTACAAGTGGGAGCTAAGCTGTGAGGATGTAAAGGCATAGAATAATATAATGAACTATGGGGACTTAGGGGGAAGGATGAAAGAGGGATGAGGGATAAAAGACTACACATTGGGTATAGTGTACACTGCTCAGGTGATAGGTGCACCAAAATCTAAGAAATTGCCACTAAAGAACGTATCCATGTAAGCAAACACCACCTGTTCCCCCAAAAACCCATTGAAATAAAAATAATAACAATAAATGATTTATCTTCACAGAACTTTAAAAATGTTCAATGTTCAGAGTTGATAATAATAAAAGAAGTTAGAATAAAATGTGCAGCAAGTGGTAGCCTCTGGACAATGGCATTCTAGATATTCACTTTGCATACACTTCTCTAGCATTTGGAAAGAAAGTATACACATGAATATATCAATACTATGATAAAGAAAACACCAAAACATGGTGTCAGGCCATTATCAGCCTTGATGATCCCAAGATCTACTTTTTTCTTTAGTTATAAAGCTTCATAATGAAAGTTCACATTGCTTAATGTGATACCTAGGCCCATAATTGATTTTCAAAATCAGGACAGCAATTACTTACAGGAAGTTGAACAAGATGGGATGTGATGGGAGGGGCTGATATGTATTGGATATGGGACAGAGGCCAAGAATCATTTCAGTTAGGATTTGTGCCTCAAATACCTCTGGCCTCTGATTTGTCCATAGTCCTTATACAGGAATTAACAAGACTGTCCAGCATCTTCATAAGCCTGTATTGCTAACCAGCTTTCATTTCAGCTCCTGTAGGCATCTCCTGAATTAAGCAACACAGAAAAGTCCTCCAAAGCCACTGAATCCCAGAAAGGCTCTCCACCTTTAGCACAAGAGGAGTCTTCACTACAGGACAAAAGAAGGAACCATAAGGGTAAGTACCAAGAACTGTCTTCTTCCATAGTCAGTTATGGTTTTTGCTATAAGATCATGTCCCTGTGCTTCCACCTTGGTGCTACATGCAGGGAGTCATGAGCTTGTTTCAGGAAAAGACAAGAGACATGAAGCTTCCTTTTAGAAACTAGGTGCTGCCAGCCCAAATTGTGTGAATTCCAAATGGGGTCCCCCTTCTGATTTATCTCCCCATATCACCTCCTTCATTCCAATCACTCAATCTGCTCTCCTGGAGAGAATGCTGCCTCTTACATTCATTTAAGGAGCAAGGGGACATGAAGACATTTCTTCCCAGAGTTGAACTGCTGTAGAGCCGGTTTTATTGTTTCACTTCCTTTTTAAATTTATTCTTCTTTACCTATCTGGAAAGGACCAAGGGAGTTATAGATAGTCCAAACTGAAATAATTAAGGAGTGTTTCATGAGGAAAGTATTTACAAAGATGCACAGGGTTAAGGGAAAGAGACGAGGCATGGGTCAGCACCTTAAGCAGCAATACATAGGGGAGCACTACTTCCTGCCGTAGGCTGAAAGGGACAGGGAAGGAGCAATTACCATTGTCGCCATAGCCATAGCTGTAACCATAGGGATGGAAGAACATGAGCTGGCAGGTGGAGAAGCCCTGCATGGCCAACACACAACCACACAGGCTGATATGGTTTGGATCTGTGTCCCCACCCAAATCTCATGCTGGTTATAATTCCCGATGTTAGAGGGAGGGCCTGGTGGGAGATGATTATTAGATCATGGGGATGGTTTCGCATGAATGTTTTAACACCATCCCCCTTTGGTATTGTTGTTGTGACACTGATGAGTTCTCATGAAATCTAATTGTTTAAAAGCGTGTGGCACCTCCTCCCTCTCTCTTTTGCTCCTGCTCTCACCATGTGAGATGCCTTGCTCCCCCTTTGCCTTTCACCAGGATTGGAAGCTTCCTGAAGCCTCCCCTAAAGCAGAAGCTGCTATGCTTCCTGTACAGCCTGTAGAGCCATGAGCCAATTAAACCTGTTTTCTTCATAAATTTCTCAGTCTCAGGTATTTCTTTTTAGCAATGCAAGAAAGAACTAATACACAGACAGAGAGCCAGGAGGTGGAAATCCCAAGTCACTCTCCTGCTGTCTTCCAGTCTCCTGTCAGTATGTCCCAGTGTCTCAATTTCATCAGAAACCAGAAATAAAAAGAATCCCACTGATGTGGTACCTAGAAACCACTCTCTTGGGATGTCAAACAGGATAAAGAATGGAAAGCAAATCCTCATGGCAAATGAGACTATCCCTCTCACCTCCTTATATCCTCCTACTTCCTGAGGCTTTCTCTGCCTGAAGGTGATTGATTCCTGTCTCATTTCAGCTCCATCAGACTACTTTAACGTTTGGCATGTCTTTCTCTACTGTCACTTTTATGCAGAAATGTTTGCATTTTTCAAAAATGCATAGAAAATAAAATGTAATTTTAAAAAGAGAACATATTTATTTGTTTAGAATATAAGCTTGGCTGCTCTAAACAAGATATATCTTAAACAAGAAAGTATAATTGTGCCTCTGGGTCACTAGGTTCTGAATCTGCAGATTCAACAAACCACAGGTGGAAACTATTCCAAAAATAAGGGTATGGTTGAGTTGTGTATGTACTGAACAGGTAGAAACTTGTTTTTCCTTGTCGTTATTTCTGGAAAAACTACAATATGACAAGAATTTACACAGCATTTGCATTTTGTTGTTATTCTAAATAACTAAAAACGATTTAACGTATCTGGAAGAAAGTGCATAGGCTATATACAAATATCACATATAAGGAAATTGAGCATCTGCAGATTTTGGTGTGTGCTGAAGTTCTGGAAAAAGTCCCATGTTGAATACCCAGAAATGACTGTCTTTGAAATTTGAACTAGAAGCTCTAGGCATCACACATCAGAATTCCAAAAATTGCTGCTCCCCAGTCCCTAGAGAGTTGCCCTCGTCCTTGTGATCCTGCATGGCTTCCAGCTACATCAGCATTCCAGCCTTATGGAAAAAGACAAGTGGAAGGAGAGGCTTTGCTCCTTCTATTGATCCCGCGAGTGAGGAATTGCTTACATCACTTTGGGATTCTTCCACTTAACAGCACCTGGTCATATAATGTCATTCAGCATCAAGGAAAATGGATATGGGTCCTTGTGCTGCTTTTACACTCTCAGAATTGTTATGTGACCAAAGAGGAAAATGAATGTTGGGGCAACCTAGCAGTCTCTTCACTCCTGATTGTCTCTGACTCTGTGCTGACATCAAGATTTTTCAGGAACTCCTCAGAAATAATGAATGATGGGGCAGAGAACAGAACTGGAGTCTCATGCAGGGCTCCAGGGACCAGAGACTGGTATTGGACCTGCTCTTACTGTTGTGAACTCAGGAAAACCCTTTAATTCTCTAGGCCTTGGCTTCATCTTATGTTATATGAGGATAATATCATAGATGGTCTTTAAGGAACACATGCTAAATGTTGGTGATACTACAGGGAAAATGACAGGTATGACTTAGTCCTTATGGAGCTTCGGGTTTCATGAGGAGGACAAACATATCATACCATAAATATAGATGGAGAAACTCTTTAGTGCCCTGAGTGTGGGTAACAGAGGTTCTCCTTTTCCTCCCATTTCCTTTCTCGGCCAGTCAGGGCTGTGCCAGCTTGTCCCTCTAAGGGAACTCATGATGGAGGCATTCACTCCTGATGTTTCTCTGTACTCCCAGCAAAGGGTGCATCTTCTGTCCACCAGGAGGCCTCCTGCCCCTGTGCAACCTTAGGATTCCAGAGCAAACGTGGCCTCTGATAGGCAAAAAGGAACTCCTGAATTTATTCCTAAATGGTGTTCACTCGCCGCTGTTTTGTTCCCTCTTTGATTTGCCTCTCATTCCCTATCTGGAGTTTGCTTAGGTCAGTTTTTTTTCAATCCATAATTTTGACTGCCAACTTGGATTTAACTTGAGAATCGCTCCTCTGCTTTAGTCTTTCTAACATGTATAATTGACACAGGGCAGTGTTAGGTATAAACGGCTGCTCCAAGACTGGATCGTGAGTCAGCCCTGCTGGACTCAAATTCATACTATATAAAATATAACCCCTGGGACAAATAATTCCCTTTCTTTATGCTCCAATTGCATTATCTGCCATATGGGAATAATACCAATTCTTACCTCCTAGGTTCTTCAGGTGATTAAAAGAGACAATACCTTATAAACTCTCAATCAACTGCTGTTATTCTCCCAGATTAGAACTAATCCTCATTCTCCAGTTGAAATCTGCATGAATATCTCTCTTTACACTCCAAGCCCTACACATCGTCTATTTCCCCTCATGGACGCCTCTCATACAAATGTTTGCATCAACAAAGAAATGCTACCAGAGATCTCCTGAAAGAGAGAATGAAATAGGTTTACATTGTGTACACTCAGCAGAACATTTAGTAGTCCCCCATAGATATTTCCACACTTCAATTACCTCCGTCAGTTACACTCAGACCTCATCTGCACTTACTCTTTCCTCTGTTCTATTGCTGAGTAATTCAGATGAGATCTACACCCTACCCAAACACTGTGTACAAAAATGCTTCTAGGTGTTCAGCAAAGCCACACTGAGTTTTCATTTCAAAGGCACATCAGTTGTCAATTTCAGGTTTTGGGCACACATCAATAATTCTTCTCAACACAGATAGAGCTGTCCACAAATAGAATTCTGATGAATGAAATTTTCTTCATCCAGTTATACATGTGTGTTCTAATACCTTACATTGTGCTTTCATCTTTATTTTCCATTTCATCCAAATCTACCAGTACCATTAGGCTCCTCATGCATGCATTCCTTCATTGAAAGAATGTTTATGAAGAGCACAGTGTGCTGGTCATGGAAATAGGCACTGTGAGTATAAAATGTAAAATGTGGTCCTGTCCGCAATGACTAATACACTGAGTTATTTCTCACCCACCAGGCCCAGCCATTTTCACACTTATCCTAGCGAAGGTCACATTTTCCTCTCATTCATAAAGCATGGTCTTCTTTCCTGTCCATGGATGACCAGTCCTAGTCACAAGTGTGTCACAGCCACCTCTTTGTGTATCTGACTTTCTCCATCTGAGATAAAATATCAGGCCCATGATACAGTAATGATCGGGTCCACAACCCCGGCTGGATGAGTTGGGGGTGTTTTGATCCTAATGTTATTCCCGTGTCAGCACAGAACTTGTGTGGTAGTAGAGAGGTCAGGTTTCAGAGTCAAGAAGAACTGGATTTCAAACTGGATGAGGACCCCCACCTTTTGATAGGTGACTTATTCTCTGTGAGCCTCTGTTTCTCTCCTCTTTAAAATGAGAACAGTAAATCCCACATGGCAGGGTGGTGGGGAGAATCAGAGATCACACAGCTGGTGATCACATCTGCTCTGTGTTCCCAGGGGCACCAGACTGGGGTTTCTGAGCATGGATCCAACCATCCCAGCCCTGGGAACATCACAGACACCAATCAATGGACGCGAGGAGACTCCTTGCTACAAGCTGATCCTGAGCCTCACAGTGCTGACGTGCATCATTTCCCTCGTGGGGCTGACAGGAAACGCGGTTGTGCTCTGGCTCCTGGGCTTCCGCATGCGCAGGAACGCTGTCTCCACCTACATCCTCAACCTGGCGGCTGCCGACTTCCTCTTCCTCTGCGGTCACGTTTTACGTTTTCTGTTAAGCCTCATCAATATCCCCCATACCACCCGCAGAATCCTCATTTGTGTGATGACCGTCCCCTACCTTACAGGCCTGAGCTTTCTGAGCGCCATCAGCACGGAGCGCTGCCTGTCCGTCCTGTGGCCCATCTGGTACCGCTGCCGCCGCCCCACACACCTGTCAGCGGTCGTGTGTGTCCTGCTCTGGGCCCTGTCCCTGCTGCGGAGCATCCTGGAGTGGAGGTTCTGTGACTTCCCGTTTAGTGGTGCTGATTCTTGTTGGTGTGAAACATCAAATTTCATCATAATCGCGTGGCTGACTTTTTTGTGTGTGGTTCTCTGTGTTTCCAGCCTGGTCCTGCTGGTCAGGATCCTCTGTGGATCCCAGAAGATGCCGCTGACTAGGCTGTACGTGACCATCCTGCTCACAGTGCTGGTCTTCCTCCTCTGCGGCCTGCCCTTCGGCATTCTGGGGTCCCTAAATTACATGATCCACAAGGATCTGGAAGTCTTATATTGTCACGTTTATCGGGTTTGCATGTTCCTGTCCTCTCTAAACAGCAGTGCCAACCCCATCATTTACTTCTTCGTGGGCTCCTTTAGGCAGCGTCAAAATAGGCAGAACCTGAAGGTGGTTCTCCAGAGGGCTCTGCAGGACACGCCTGAGGTGGATGAAGGTGGAGGGCGGCTTCCTGAGGAAACCTTGGAGCTGTCGGGAAGCCAATGCAGGCAGTGAAAGAGCTCCTGCCCTGTCAGTCAGACGGGACTTTGAGAGCAACACTGCCCTGCCAACCTTGACAATTATATGCGTTTTTCTTAGCATTGTGCCTCAGAAATGTCTCAATGGTAACTCAAGGTCTTCAAATAGATGTTTATCTAACCTGACAGTTCTAGTGTTCACCCACAGAAAGCATTAGTCTGACAGTAGAATGTTTAGATTCTCCTTGATATTACCAACACATTTTCCCTGTTATCTTACACTGAATCCTTCCTACTGAACACTTTTTCTGCACTTTTCATTGTAATAAAAGGAGTTCCTGTCCAAAACCCTAAAACACTGTTTATACTTGTTTTCTACCTGATAGTACCAAAAAGGAAGATTCCTTATTAATCTCTCAGATTATGTTTCCCTGAAAATCATGTTCCCTTCTATGACTAGAAGTATTACTGCAGTTGGAAACTCGATTCTGAATAAGTGAGTTCTACTACCTGTAAATTCCATTGAATTCTCAGATATAAAGCAAAATAATGTCCTTAGAGAGAGATTCTCCCTTCATAAAAACAGTCTTAGAAATTGGTTTTATGAATAGCCCTCTCCTGTCATTTGTCCACACATGGTCACACCTTGGCCTTGGTTTCTAGTAAAGACAACCATGGCCCTTTCCCCTTGAGAACTGGTAAGTGCTTATTTAGCTCTTCCTGGACTAATGGACCAGTGAGGAGCCTATAAATATACCCTACTAGTTCCACTTTGGCCATTGGAAACCTCAGTATTGGTTTCAAAGTGGAATTATCTTGAAAACCATTTATTATTCGTTTACAAAGTCTTTAAGTGTAGAATTCTTCATTCTTCCAGGTTTTGTACAAATGGTTCTGGGTGTAACTTTCAGTTAGTTTTATGGCTGTTAACATAAGAAGCAAAACTGAAAACATCTGACTCTTCCATGCTAATGTCAATTATAGTATCTGGATAATAACTTACAGTTGGTACAAAATTCTGATACATGGTACAAAATTCTAAGTTGTGACTTAGATGAACACGGAAACATTGTGCTAAGGAAAATATGCCAGATACCAAAGAATAATATTGTAAGATCAAATTCCACAAGATATCCAAACTAGGAAATTCTTGAACACAGAAAATAAATTAGGAGGATCCTGGTGCTGGATGACGGAGAGACTGTGTAGCCATTATTTAATGAGCACAGACTTTCTGTGCAGAATGATGAAGTTCTTAAAAGAGACAGTGGTAACGGTTACTACTTATTGTGAATGTACTTAATGATATTGAATTGTACAATTAAAATGGTTAAAGTTGTAAAATGTACGTTATGAACATTTTACCACAATTAAAAACATGTAATTATAAACACAGGATCAGTACAAAATTCAGGACTATGCTCCACTAGTGGTTATCCCTTCAACAGATAACTCAAGCAGACAGAAGAGACCACCAAGAGAAGATGTGACATCACTGTGGGCTATGTGCTGCTCACAGACAGTGAGGCTGCCCCTCAGATTGACCCTCACTGAGGGGAGCTGACACATGCATTTTGAGTATGCAGGAGACAGTACAAAGCAGTTATGAAAGCAATAAAGAGGTCTATAGTTCTCCATTTGTCCAACCAAAATTACTGGTAACTCGTATCACATTGTTCACAATGTCGAACTCAGGTCCCCTGAGTCCAGATCCATTGCTCTTCCAGGACCAGCACTCTGCTGATGCTGAATCCTATCTGTCCACCCTCAATTTCCAAATGCCATAGTAGGACATAGCTGTAGGTGAGGCTTTCCTACGTGTCGGAGGAAGTGGGAAGGCAGTGTTTGCTGCCAATGCTCCAGGCAAGGAGCTTTAATGTGATGTCTTTAGTTCAGGCTGAGGGTTATTGAGAGAGCCCATTCTGGGAGTCTATGATATCAATTGTACAGTTCTGGATAAAGATGTTTATCATGAGGAATTCTGTAGAGAATTTTCACCTGGCAATTGAATTAAATAATGTTGGTTCTCACCTGGGCCACTGCTTATTTTGACGTTAGTGACTCTTTTTCTTTTGATGGAAGAAAATTTCAACTTTATGAAAACTTAGATTCTGTCCCTGAAGCCCATTCTGAACTCACTTGGCCTCACACATTGCTCCACTACAGCACTTAAAACAGTATATTTCAATTGTTTGTCCCCACATCTTTCTCTTCAACCGCACTCTGAGGTCTTTAAGAGCAGAGAACATGTCTTTGAATTTCTGGTGCAACAGACTTAGTGTGGAATTTAGAAGTCTTGGTAATTATTTTTCTCAAGCATCTCCCACCTGAAAATCACAGGTTTGTCCAGCATCTTGCAAAGGCTGGCTCAGTCACCAGGTCTCACTGGAACTCCTACAGGTACCTCCCACACAACAGAGTGTCCTCTGCAGTTGGTTTTTCTGAGAACAGCTGTTCCCTTTTATTGCAGGTCTGCTCACTGCCTCTGGGAAGAAGAATGGAGGGGATGTGGGAGTCTGCTAGTGAAATGCTTTCTTTCCCAGGCCAATGATGTCATTTCCTCTCAGTTCCATGTCGAGGAAAAGCGTGCAGGACATCCAGGCATGTTCCCCAGAAAGGGAGAAATGATATAAAAGTCTCTAATGGCACTTTTTGGGAGCTGCCATTCATGACTATTTTTTAGGCATGAATTCAACAAACATTCGAACCTAATTCATCAAGCACTGTGCTAATTCTGCATAAAAGCAAACACCTTTCAAATAAGTCTCTCACTAATACATTCCATCTCTATAACCAATCCTTTCCACTTCCTGAAGAAAATATATGGATTGATGCTGAGCAAATGCTGAGCCTTTGTGGTCATTCACTGATGCTCTAGTACACCTGGGCTCAAGGGCACTGAGTCATCAGCCTCACAAGAACCAATTGGATCTGTTTCCTGTCCTGCTTTTGACAATTAGGCTTGTCAATATAATTACCTAATTTATCAAAATACATCACAAATCAATGAAATACGAGTATGAAAGAATTGCGGTTTCCATACAAACTAATGTGAATGCTTAAAGGGACAATAAAAGCAGGTTCCAAAATTATTGTTAGTTTAATAGGTGTGAGTCTGCCAATTCTATCGGATTAAACAAAAACTAACAATATGGAACAATATCCTCAGAGAGAATGCTATGCATCTGATGCTAAGATCTACACTTAAATTAATCCACACTGCAAATCATAGACAATGATTGATAGATATGCTTTCAGCAAGGTAGAGTAGAATTCTATTTGCAAACCCTACACAAAGGAATGTTCTGTAGTCTGGTTCTATTATTGTGAATGAATTCTAGGTAAAAATGAAATATTCATGTTACAAATGTTTCCTTTTTTATGAATACTGATTAACAGACATTTTAAATTAACCTATCCACTTGCATTTCTGAATATATCATTAAGTGGGCTTTTCATAACAGTATCTCTCACTTATTCCACTGTTTAATGTATAAATACATACTGAGCATCTTCTATTCTCTAGTTTGCATGCCAGACACTTAGGAGTCAAAGTAAACACACCTACATTCATAGAGTGCACAGCCTGTGAAGGAAGGACACTAGTGCAGGAAAGACTGCCTCCCAAAGTGACACATACTATCCAAGAGTTGTATTTGTGGCTCAAGTGTTCTCAGAGGAGAGGGTATCTAAAAATTCCCAATTATCTTGCTGCCATCTTGAAGAGGAATGCCACACCCAAGCACCCAGCTGAAGCAGGACAATACGATTCCAATAAATTAGAGAATGTTCACCGGGTGACTACTCATGCAAGACAACAATCTCAGCAATGGTTTTATAATTGATGACACCAAAGATTAATAGGCTGAATCTTACAACAGCCCTCAGTCTATAGTACAACACCACACCAATGCACAATTCCTAAAAAGATTTTTAAGAGACCCTGCAGGTGCTTAGGTCACAGGTATTGCAGAACTATCTACCACCATTACTGTGTGTTCCAGCAGTAGAAGCCCTTGCCTCCAGGCAAACCAAATCAGCATCTAGAAATCCCAGGATATGTAAAGAAGGAGAATGTGCAAGTGCTAGAAAGGGAAGAACACCTGACCTGGTTTCAGGGATTTGGGATTCTCAAGCTGACTGCATGGCCAACATGGGTCACATGCTCATTCCAGGCAAACCAAGCAGATAGTGAGGTTATGGGATTGCCCCAGTCTGAAACTGTGCCATTTGTGCATTTGTGCTCAGGTATCTCTTTTCAGAATATGTGGGTAAATTGTGGCTTTACCATAACTCTGGACTGAAGATAACTGCTGTTGTGATACTGGCAGCCTGAGAAATTCATGTCTCTACACAGTGACTATAATCACAGTAATCATATGTTCTTCTCACCTATGTGGCAGCGACCTAGAATCTGAAGAGACTGCTGTGATGTTTATTCTGTACGACGGTGTGGTATCCATTGGGCACGATTATTGTCAATGTACCAATGCTGACTATAGATATAGATGGCACTTGCTTGCTGTTACCTAACAACAGCAGAGTATAGAAGAAGAAGTCTCAATGCTCATGCCCATCATATTTGTCCAATTGTTCTGAAACCTTGCAGGATGAAAACACAAGGAAGGAGAGCAGAGACAGAGCAGATCTCATTTCTAAGTGTATACGTAGAAGTGAGTGGATCATGGAAGGCTTTGTGCAATAGGTAGAATTTTAACTGATGACTACAATTTACCCAGCATTGTCATTATAATTATACCCTCTGTAAATTTTGCCAATCATCTCAATCTTACTGGGGAAGGAGAAATAAATAGGATCTGGACAGATAGAAATGGGAGAAGAGATAATTTACAGTGGCACTGTTAATAAAAGCATAGAGTTATTTAGGGAATGGTGAATAATTCATTCATGAGTTTTATTCCTTCTGTCACCCCATGTATTTGGTCATGGTGGTAAGATCCCTCTTAAATAGAAGGAAAGATACAGTCTTTTTCAGACAAACAAATACTGAGAGAATTTACCACTACCAAGCCAGCACTACAATAACTGCTAAAAGGAGCTCTAAATCAGGAAATAAAACCTCA